AACACTTGTAGATGTATTTTAGCAAGTCGGATGCCTCTGAGAAACTGAAAATAGATTATTGCGGAATTCCTTCCACTCCACTCTATTACATAATTGACGTTTGTGTTATACAGGGAATCGAGAATATCAAAATGAGTAATGAATGTCTTTAAAGTGATAAAGTAAAGTAGTGTTCATTGTTTTCTTAAAAGTTTCTGTGGGTTTCGATGAAAATATTGATCAGTTTACCATGGAAATAAATGACCCAAAGTATAAAATTTTGAGAAAACCTTTGAAACCTACCAGTGTTATTTGAAACCAGATCCCAAAAATAAACATCCCCGATTCAACAGAGGACAGCGCTGTTTCGACCCTCCATCACTGGTGGGAAGCTGACCCACAAATGCATACCTTAACTCTACTGTTCTTAAAGGACAAACCTGAATAAGTAGTAAACGCCATCTATGAGATCAACAGACGACCCAACATCAAAGATAAATAAGGCCCCCAAAAGCTGTCGTCAGTGCAAAGCGGGTCATTCTATATAAAATGAACCAATAGAAAAATTTATTTTGGACCATGACCTCTTGGAACTTCATACATTTTGGTTTACTTGAAAGAGTATTGAAAATCTATCATTTCCGAGTTATCAATGGTCAAAATTTGAAAAAATCGAAATTTTCACCAGGCTTTTGTTTTTTAATTTGTTGTTCCGGTAAAAAAAATTGGCCGTGGTTAACACCATAGTTGTGTAGTTNCAGGTAAGGAAATGTGAGAGGTGAAATTTTCAGAAAAATCATGCTTTGCGTTTTCCAGAAACGTCTAACCTACCATGGACCGTGAGCCACGCTGTATAGTTATTGTGATTCTTATATAATCAGAAATGATTATTGAATAACAAAATTTGTTAGCTCCGTAACTATATTATCAAATGGGAGCTGTTGGAAGGTAGGTTGCACTATATCGTTTACTTGAACTGTACATTTTATACTACATTTATACTACTACTTTACATTACTGAAATGAATCACTCATTCCTCTTAGATCCCTATATTAGACAGAACAAATAATAAAAATCGAACATTTGTTACTATCATGTTTATGACATTCAATCGATTTTACTTTCATGTTTATTAAATTTTATAATCAAAATTTTTAATTATGCAGCATGAAATAGTAGTATAAATGAAGCGGCAAATTACTATATATTTTCACATGACGAGTCTTATCCAACCCACAATCTCTCGATAATTTCAATGCATTCACTCACAAATCATTTCAAATATAACACCCTCTAAACTCCACAATTGGAGTTAATGTTCTATGACAGTTCTTTCATGAATAAGACAAAGTTCAGTATTGAAAAAAGACCATCGTTCAATTTGAAATAATTACACTAAGTATGAATGAGACGTCACTGATTAGTAATGATGATCGATCACCATTCTTTATTTCACTAAATTTCATCGGTACGTATTTTGCGAACTTGTTACGTCACGAAAATGAAGATTAATTTAAATCACTATATATTGCACCCATTTTTAAACGCGAAAATGTAAATATTTTATCTCTTGTACGCCGACAAAGACACAGGTACCGCCAATACTGAACATGAAATATACATCCAACCGTCCAAAAGTGTGTTCCATCAAGGATTACTCCTACGGGCGTATTAGCTATGTATTAAAACGGAATTCCAATAACAATTATTATGGACAGATTTGTTGATAATTTCCTTAGAGAATTCATTTTAGGTGGAACTTTAATGATTTGAATGTTCAAAAGTGAAAAATGCGTGGTATTTCAATACAATTTGTAAATAACGATAAGACTATTCCGTATAACATAAAATGACAACTCTACAAATTTATTTGTCATGCTAACTACATCAATCTAGAATTTTATTCACTTTAGCTTATTTTATTAATTACATACGACATTTCTCGTCAGATAGCTTAGATTAGACAAAGATTGCTAATATATAAACTATACGATGTTTTACATGTTTATTATGGAATATAAGATGTTTCATTCAATTCTCATCAAATGTGATCACTGTTAAATGTTCACCGTTTTCCAAACCTTTTATTTAAAATTAGTACTTTCTTTCAAGATGATGGAAAATGAAAAGTCGGGCATATGAAATAAGCTGTGAAGGTCGTGATAAAAAATATATCAGGCAGTCTAGACGAGTCATTAGAACTAGTTTCAAAGAACATGTATCGCATATCCGATTTTGAAGACCACAAAAATGTAGCGTTGCTCAACACGCCTTAGAGACGGCCATAAAATAAATGAAAGTTGAGATCGGTATATGACAGTAGATTTTTGGGTGCTTTCCGAAGTCTGGTATTAGTCTGAAAATAGCAATATGAACCTTGACAAAGGTCCCCTTCCAAACAGCCCCAGCAAATTTCTACCCGAAATCATTGATGCGTATCGGAAAGTGAAAGTTTACTTTGTCTCCTGAAGAAGCATGTCGAGAGTTTTACATTTCTGGCAGCAAAATGTTTTGGAGTCATTTCCATATATAAATGAATACAATACCAATTATTCAATTTTACCTGGATACGATACAAATATTTCAGTGAATAGTTTTACTGTGCAGAAATGAAAACTTCCATTTTAATACAGTACATAAAAAATCAGGTAAAAACGTCTTCCCATAATCTAAGTAGATTTTCTTGGAAAATTGTACCCTAATTACCAGAGACAATAACTATCTATTAAATATTGATATTACTCATAAAATATCTGTGACTATTATTGAGGGCACATAGATGATGATGATTGTCGAAATTGCAAAACTGGTACTGGTAAAAGATTGGCATTTGAGTATATAATAAACTAGTTGTCGTCCGCGGCTTCGCTCGCGTAGAATTTGGTTTGTCACATTCAGTTTCGTGA